CGAGTTTATTTCTTATACTTCTTTTGATTTTGATGGAAAATGAGTTGTGTACACCTAAAACTGCAGAAGAAAAAGGCACGACCGACGAGTTTGTAACTTGAGTGAAGCATCTTGAATATTATTTTCTCTATATTTTTTCGTTAATTAGAGGAGGAACGGGAAAGTCCTAGTTGTATTGTGTGTGTGTGTGTGTTGTGTTTATCTGTAAAAGAACACAAGTTGGAGGAGAATATTCCAAACACGAAATATAGGGATTGTAATAGAAACCAAAATGTCACGAAAATAAAAGCATTTTTATTCACCGTTATTCTATATTCTAATATTTCCTCCTATCCATGCATGTATATAAGAATTACTCATTAACTAGGAAAATTAAATGGATCGTGTCTTTTAATAACTTTATACAAGTTAGGAAACCCTAAACTTCAGTGTTCAAACTACTATAACAACGCATGAATATCGATCGAATTAGTATGGTTCTTTTATATAAATATAGATACATATTCACGTTTCATTGGTATCACGCAAGATATGACTATCATGACTTCCGCAAACAAAAAGAGTAATTTGAAAGCAGGATGATGTTCGATCTAGTCTGAAAAAAGTAGAAGATGCGTATTCGAACGCGGAATCTGTAGATTTCCGCGTACGTGTGCGTGTGTGTATATATGCATGTATATGCTAATGTATATGTGTGTAAAATACACATATGCACGTACATACATGCCAATGAATGTGTACGCATAGAAACCATAAAGTATGTTTCGTAGTGGATCTTTTTTGGATCTCCACGACCTATATGCATGTGCTCGTTAGACTCGCTGTGTTAGTAGATAACATTTAAAAACCCCCATCGCAAGATTATCTTTTATCGCGGCTGGCACAGATGGAGCACCAATGTTCAAACAATACAATGCCAAAGTCTCTTCGACTATGATGCATTCATAACTTATTATCAACATACATACATTCATGATTCAACCAAAACATACATACATACATACATACATACATACATACATACATACATACATACATACATACATACATACATACATACATACATACATACATACATACATACATACATACATACGTAATGAAAGCTAAATTCCCTTGCAAGGAGTTCTAGACAACTAATAAAAGAATCGCGTATATATTCTAATGTTATTTAAAAACATTACTATAATTATGTATGTCTAGAATTTAGCTATCCATAATTAGAATTAGTCTAGAGTTTACTAGGCATAACTTATTAATGGAAATTACACTGATATATACACCAAAAGTTTTGTTATATGTAATATATTAATGTGTATAGAGTTTGATGGACCGACGAATATTTAATAAAACAATATATAATGTTGGTGGAACCCGCAACCGACTTGCAACCTTTAATTGTTATGCGGGATATTAATTAAGAATGCTCGTTTAAAAATTTAAAAATTCGAAAAAAAAGCAAAGCTAATTAATGATAATATATAAGAGCAACCAGTCAGCCTAGGGACGCTGCATAATTCGACAAACCCATCTGCACTAATTGAGATTAAGATGTGGAACGATGACTAGACTTAATACCATTTCGGTGTCGAGATTCCCAACAGTTTTTTCCAAATCTGGAAAAGGCGAACATAATCAGAAAATTTAAAAGAAAGGTATGGTTAATGAGGGAATAAATGACAATATAGAATATAAAAAAGCTAATAATAATAATAATAATAATAATAATAATACAAACTATAATAATTTAAACTCTGTTGAAGCATTCAACACGACGGAGAGTTAAAGAAGTGTACTTTTAAAAAGCCCAGCATCTAATAACATGTGTGTTTGGTTGGCTTGGAAGCCTTCTGTCGAGTTTAATGCGACTTTTTACACATTCGCGTTTTAGCGTGTATACAATATCACCATATTAACTATATATATATATATATATGTGTGTGTGTGTGTATGTATAGATTCACGTGATTATCTATCTTAATATTACATCCATCGAAAGAGCTTGAAGAAAATGGGGGGAAAAAGAAGAGATGATGAGAATATATAACATAGAGCACGTGATGCATGGGAGAGATGGTGGGTTCTTTGCTTAAACAAATAAATAAAATAAAAAGGAAAAAGTGTTCTTAGTAGCCGACTACTACCTTTCGGACGCAGACCGAACCAATCCAACACATCAATTTGGTGTAAAATTATGTGTGTATATATATATATGTGTGTGTATATATATAGCTGTTTCGTATTCTTGTAGTAGATCTATTTATTATACGGTCTAGATATATATAGATATTTTTTTGGGACAAAGTAAAAGTATATGTACCACTATCTGTATAACATGGAGAGGCAAATAATATATAGAGTATTTGCATAAATTTCCGTTTCAAGATAATTCCAATCTTAATTTCAGTAACCTATTTACCATTTATCCCTATTATTCTATACATATAAACTAAGATGCGTATAAAGTCATAATAAAATAAAAAAGTATCTTTATTAAAAACTATATTCTTTATTATGTTATGTCTTCTCTGTCTCAGATTTGATCTTCAAAACAACTATAAACATGTAGACACATGCACACACTGACACACACACACACATACACATATATATATATATATATATATACATATATATCGAATAGTACATATGATTCCATAAATGGAAGAAACCGGGAGAGTTAAAAATGGAATACCACACGCTCGCAATCTCGCACGTGTACCTCTCTCTCTCTCTACTTGTCGCTTTTTGCTCTCAGCCTTTCATCTTTTTTTAATTAACTTTTAATCACGGTTTTGCTTATACTTATTATGATTAGGACCGCATTATCTATTAATCATGTTGATGATCAAATCTTCGTACCGTTGACTCTGTGACACGTGACCTTATATGCCCACGTGTCCTATAGTTGACGGCTCAAGAGAAACGTTGACTGTGTATGTGGAGAGAGGTCATTGACAAAACGTCAATTCCATATGTTTTTCTGAAGTTGTTTTTAGTGTCCTATGGTTTATGTAATATATTAAATTTGAATTTTTTTCTTACTAATCGTAATATTCATATTTTCTTTTATCTATCTAATGGTTCATATATACCATTTTAGAATATTTTTAAAACAAAAAATCAATAAAAAAAATAGATATCCAACCGACCAACTTCAAAGGAGATCGAATTTGTGGACGTTGTGTTTATTCCGGTAGAATCACAAGAAATTTTATTTCAAGAAAAAAAATAATGAGTGTTGGATATAATAAGATTTTTTTATTTACCATAAAATGAATAATAAATAACCGGTTTGTGCATATTTTGATTTTTGAACAATATTTTGAGCCCAAATCATAATGGGCTCATTCATAGATGGGCTTCTACTGTGGCTTAGTGTTAAATGAGGCCCATTTAACATATGCTATGAGTTTAATTCGGTATGTCTTTTTTTAAATGGGCCTTGATTCCTCCAAATTAATCTTATGCGGCCCATTTAACGTAATAATTTTATGAGTTAATTTGTGAAAAAGATCGATTGCCGAAGCCTGAGGGAGAGAGTAGGCGACAAATATAATATAAGAAAAAAAAATGGACAAAAATAAAACTATTAAAAAATTGCTTGATTTCTGACTGACTGGATTTTATATATGTATGATTTCCAATATGATTTATATTCGTATTATCTTAAATTATATTTGAGTTCAATCACTTTTATATTCCATTCAAATTCAAATTCAAATATTTCTATTTTTTTTAAAAACCATATATTGGTTATTTGAATATTTCCATGTCATTCCCACGGGACATAGCATTTATAAAGAAAAGTACGTAAGTGGTGACGTGGATGTCGATCCTGCCTGCCGTCGATGTTTTAAAGTGGGTCCCACCACGTTGAAGTGAAGTTGAAGCCAAGTCTTGGTCGAAGGACCAAACCATTACCAATATGTTCGGTTGTGTTCACTTCCTTCACCGAACGAAACCAAAACAAACATGTGACTGGGTCCCAACGGAGATTGCTTTCTAATTGGAAAAATAAATCCATATATAATACATTCTGAATTCATAGAACGTTGAAACGTAAAAAAAAAATCGTGTAGTAATATTAATTGACATTTCTCATGTTTATATAATTTGCGCAATAATTATTAATATGCGAATTCCTTCTTTTTTAATATGTAAGGTATTTAGAAATTTCACTTAAAGCGGTTATTATTTGAAACAAATTCGAATATAATTTGGAAAAATATATTTAACATGTAAAGTGATTTGAATATTGCATTACTTATCTGATGGTTTTGATAGAAAGTTATAGTTGTGGGAGTTTGACATTTCGTCAAAATTAATATTTGTTTAAAAGAAGAAGGTCAAACTCAAATTTATCAAAGCAAAATAATTAAAAAAAGATAAAATTTATTTGTATTTTTTTTTGTAACAAACAAATTATTTTTACGAGAATAGATTTGATATAAAAAACCCAACCAACCTTTTAAATGAATCAAAGCCCTTTTTTTTTTCGTTTTTCTCACAACACATTTTTTTCATCACCCCTCATATAACAGACTTTTAAAAAATATTTGTCTATTCTATAAAAAAAGGAATGGACATTATATTTGAGACAAAAAAATCAAATTTAAGATATTTGTTCTTATATCATTCTCCCATTTCGAAACAACAATAATTTATTCTTCCCAAAACATAAAAGTTTTCAAACTTAAAAAAAAAGTCACTGTCTAGATCCTATTAATTGGGAAAAATAGTCAACAAGTATTTAACACCCCGAAAAAGTGGCCATTTAGAATATGTGACTTTTTCAAAATTATATTCACTAACAGTGAATATATATATATATATATATATATAAGAGTATGAAAATTAATTCTGAATTATCCAAAAATACTTTTTTCTTAGGAAAATGTAATCTTAGTGGTTATTAGGATTCCGAATTATGGGTTCGCTGAAATTGCGGGGAAGGGATCAAACAAACCGAAGGAAAGATGGGAGGGTCAATTTCGTAAATATGTTATAAAACCATGCCCATTTTGAGAACTTGAAAAAAAAAACCGGCGACAAATTCGAATATCTGAACTGAATAATATCCCAAGTATTTCCATAGTTTTACAGACGGAGACAAGAGCTGCTTACGTGGTTTCTACATCTATGGCAAGCAGCTCAAGTAGATCGCTTTAGATCGATCTAGGGTTCTTCGTCTCTCGTTTGATTTCCCCATCAGTTATCCTGATTTCGGCTTTTTTCCTTCCATTTTGGGCTTTTGGGTTTCGTCCATTGTGTCTCCGTTTCGAGATCGGAATCTGGTGATTTCGTGGCTGTTTTCGCGATGGGGAAGAAGGTAGTTGTCGGGGCGGCGATTGTCGGTGCTGCGGTTGTCTGCGCCGCGGCGGCGTTGATGGTTCGCCGGCGGATGCGGAGCTCCGGCAAGTGGGCCCGAGCGATGGCGATCCTGAGGGCGTTCGAGGAGGATTGCGCGACGCCGATCGCGAAGCTGAGACAGGTGGCCGACGCCTTGACCGTCGAAATGCACGCCGGTCTAGCCTCGGAAGGTGGGAGCAAGCTCAAGATGCTCATCAGCTACGTCGATAATCTCCCCACTGGGTAAATCTTAATCGCTCCCCATTCTTTCGATTTCGCATTGTTGTCGCCCCGTTTGATCGGAGATAATTGGATAAAGTTCAAAGCTTTTGTTGAAATTTTTCATTTTTTTTTGTTTCGTGGGTCGAGATTGGGAGTGCTCCATTTTGATCCGTTTAATCATTTTCGACGTTTCATTGGCGCATTGGGAATCTGTTGGGAGCTTTGGGCAAATGCTCGCACTTTTCTTACCTTAGGCTGGAGAATAGCGAGTCTTTTCGTATCCTGTTTGGTCGGAGTCGTATTGAATTCCACGGAAATTGTCTGGTTTTAGGTATGTATGCCCTGGTCCTATGAAATTAGAGATTCAGTTTCTGGATTCCAAGCAAAAAGAATCCAGTTGCTTTAGGGGAAAAGTTGGTGGCGAGTGCTTAGGTTGAGAAAATACTCGTGGAGTAAGAACCGTTCTCTCTGTGGTCAATACATTATACCCGTTTAAGGTTCTGACCCATGCATTCTAAATCTGAAGCATCTTTCTCCTCATGTTTGTTTTGCTTTTCGCCTGTAATGTTTTTTTTTTTGCTGTGCCTTTTGTTTTTTGGATCAAGCTTCATAATCCTGGAGTCTTGCTGCAGAAATATTCTCTTACAGAATATATGAGTTGGATATTAGGACAGACAGATGACCTGAAAATGTCAGCTACGTGGACAAGATGGTTTGAAAGTCTTTTTCCCCATCAACTTCCTTACTATGATCAGTTTGGTCCATGAGTTATGCTTATATGGTGTAATATTCCATAATAACTAGTACGATGCTATGAAACTTACGAATAAACCACTGGTATAAAACCGGGAAAAAAGGTTGCAAAGAATGAAGCTTTCGGTGGCAATTGTTTATGGTCGGATCCTAGACCCGATCTCTATATGGATATAACATATGCTATAAATTTCACAGGGATGAAAAAGGTCTATTTTATGCGCTAGACCTTGGCGGAACAAACTTCCGTGTCATGCGTGTGCTCCTTGGTGGGAAAGAAGGCCGTGTTGTTAAACAAGAATTTGAAGAAGTTTCTATTCCTCCTCATCTTATGACGGGTGGTTCAGATGTTAGTTGCCGCTTCTAAATCCATTTTTTTGTCCCGCTGAATTCCCGAGTTCAAGCTGGATGGTTTTATAGAACTTTTGTGAATTTATATATTTTTACCGATGCTTGTGTTTCGACAGGAATTATTCAGTTTTATTGCTGAAGCTCTCGCAAAGTTCGTTGCGACAGAAGGTGAAGATTTTCATCCTGCACCGGGGAGACAGAGGGAATTAGGTTTCACTTTCTCGTTTCCGGTTAGGCAGACATCTTTGGTGTCTGGTACTCTCATCAAATGGACAAAGGGCTTCTCCATTGAAGACACAGTTGAGTTCAGACTGCCTTCATCTGTATTTGTTTTTATTACAATTAGTTTCTGGGCTTCCCTTTATCCATTTGGATCTTCCATTTTGCCAGCTTTGGAAGTGTGTGTGTGTGTGTGTTTATGTATATATTCAATAACAATGCTGTCTCTGTTACCGGTGATTCTGTAGGTCGGACAAGATGTTGTTGGGGAACTCAATAAAGCCATGGAAAGAGTTGGGCTTGACATGTGTGTTGCGGCACTGGTGAGAGTTTGTGTTAAAGGCTCTAAAATTTGTTCTGTATTCCCTCCGAGTCAACCGTGCCATCTTTTTGTTGAAGGGTTTTCCCATTGTAAACTGTACAGGTAAACGACACTGTCGGGACGCTAGCTGGTGGAAGGTACTACAGACCGGAAGTCACGGCTGCTGTTATCTTAGGCACCGGAACAAATGCTGCATACGTGGAGCGTGCACATGCAATTCCCAAGTGGCATGGTCTGCTTCCTAAATCAGGAGAAATGGTCTGTTTCTGGCACTCACTGTCTCCATTGATGGAGATTCCAGTTCCTTGTGTTTCTGTGTATTAAAACACTTGTGTGTCCCTTGCTCGTGTTAAGGTTATCAACATGGAGTGGGGAAACTTCAGGTCATCGCATCTTCCATTGACGGAGTTTGACCACTCCCTGGATTTTGAGAGTCTGAATCCGGGAGAACAGGTATGAATGAGTTTATTTCATCTGATTGTTGCAAGAGGAGGATCGTGGCTATGAGCCCGTGGCAACCTATGTGGATTACAGATCTTTGAGAAGATTATTTCCGGCATGTACTTGGGAGAAATCTTGCGTAGAGTTCTTCTGAAGATGGCTGAAGAGGCTGCTTTCTTTGGTGACACCGTCCCACCTAAGCTGAGGATACCGTTCATCATAAGGTACATCATCTTCTATACAATTTTCCTGACCAAATCATGGTACTCTTGCTGGTAATTTACAATTACAGATTGCATTACTGTCCTTAAATGTTATATGCAGGACCCCTCACATGTCAGCAATGCACTGTGATACTTCTCCAGACTTGAAGGTTGTCGGAAGCAAACTGAAGGACATATTGGAGGTGAGAGATGTTTAGATACGGTTTGAAAATGTTAAGAGAACAACACAAAAGTTGATATGGCGACTTTGCATCTGTCTATCTTTAGGTACCGACCACCTCTCTCAAGATGAGAAAAGTAGTCATCAGTCTCTGCAACATCATTGCAAGCCGAGGTGCCCGTTTATCTGCAGCTGGGATCTATGGGATCCTTAAGAAACTGGGAAGAGACGTGCCTAAAGAGGGCGAGCAGCAGAAGTCGGTGGTTGCCATGGACGGTGGACTGTTTGAACATTACTCTCAGTTCAGTGCTTCCATGGAGAGCACACTAAAAGAGTTGCTCGGAGAAGAAGTCTCTGATAACATTGAGATCATTCACTCCAATGACGGCTCCGGCATTGGAGCTGCGCTCCTGGCTGCTTCTCATTCTCAGTACCTCGAAGTGGAGGACTCTTAAACAGGCATCAATGGTGAAAGCCGCTTCTGTGTGATTTCAGCAAGTTAGAATCTTTTTTCAGTCTACCAGAAAGGCCTAAAGCAACAAAAAGCAAGTATCTTTATGTTTCTCTACTGAAGAAGACTCTGTTTCTGCATTTAGGGTTCAGCAAATAAGAAAAAAGGGTAAGCTTCTTGGTGGAATTTTGTTCTGTGTTGGGGAATAATAAACCCGGGGTTTCTCCAGGTTCTGGGGATTTCAGACCAGCCTTGTTGTAGAACTATTTATTTGAATTCACTGGATTTCCGGGTTTATGAAAAAGCTCAAACATACTGTGTTCCGACCAAAGCTTCCAGAATCTGGTGAACTTCCGACCAAACAGGTGAGGTGTTAAGGAACTGTGATCGGTTCATTGGGTTCCTGGTGTATAAAGATAATGTTTTTACAGATCAAAGGACACAAAAGCACTGCAAATTCTGGCGAGAAGTTCCAGAAATGATGGGTTTTGTTATTAGTATAAAAGGATGTTGAGCTCACTCTCCATCATCATCATCTCGGAGAAGCATTTGTACAAAAAAACTGCAACCGGAAGTAGAAGCTATGCCTAAATCAAGCTTGAGTCAGACGAAGAGACCACCTTGGGCTGAACAGAGACATTGTTGAGCCGCTCAAGAGCCAAGATCAAAGCTTGAGTGCCCAGAATGCCTTCGCCATGTGCCTTGAGCGACAGGTAAAGCTGCTGGGCTAGGGCCAATCCAGGCAGAGCCAATCCCATTCTCTCGCATTCCTTCAGACAAATCCCCAAATCCTTCACGAAATGGTTCACGTAGAACCCTGGCTCGAAATCCCTCCTCAGAATCCGGTTTCCGTACAGTTCAAGCGATCTCGATCGCGCTCCTCCCGCCGAGATCGCTTCCAGAAAGTTTTCCACGTCGAGCCCTGCTTTGTGAGCATAGATTATGCCCTCGACGAGCCCTAGCATCGTCGATGCGATCGTGATCTGGTTCGCCAGCTTCGCGGATTGCCCTTTCCCGCTTGAGCCCATGTAATTGACCTTGCCCATTAGGGCAAATATCTGATCCAGCCGTTTCACAACGGTCTCATCTCCTCCGGCGAAGATCGCCAGCTTACCCTTCTTCGCGCCCAAATCTCCCCCGGAAACCGGTGCGTCGATCGAGAAGCAGTTCGCGGCCGCGGCGGCAGAGGCGATCTCCTCCGCGAGGAATGGCTCGGAGGTCGTCATGTCGACGAGGACTCCGCCGGATCGGAGACCGGACAAAGCACCGGAGGTTGGATCGAGGAGGACGTGGCGGACGTCGGAGGGATATCCGACGATAGAGAAGACGACATCGGACTGAGCCGCGACAGCGCGAGGCGAGTCGGCGAGCTTCCCGCCCATGTCGAGGAGCTGCTGAGCCTTGGAGATGGTGCGGTTGAAGACGGTGACGGCGAACCCGGCGCTGATCAAGTGTCCACACATGGACCGGCCCATTACGCCGGTCCCGATCCAACCCACGCGCGTGTTGGACGGGCTGATCGGCTCACCGGCGGAGGCAGAGGCCGTTGTGCGGTGGAGGAATGCGGTTGCGGTGGAGGAGGAAGAGGTTGCGCGGTGTAATAATCGGAGTATCGACATTTTCTGCGGCGATGTCGCTTGTTGTGGTAGAAACGGTAATTTCAAGTATGTTACTTGGACTTTTTAGTCAAATCATGTCCTGTGGGCTCTTCTTCCTCATAACGACGTCGTTTCAGTGTGCTTCCTTGATCTCAGTTTTCCACAGTGCCCCAAAACCCAAAATCTGATGACGTAAGAATTCCTTCACCGGTTATTATTATGAGCAACTACTACCACCTATAATAAAAAGATTGTTTTTAAAACGCACTTTTCTTAAATTCAATTGGTTAATCGAACATATAAGAACAAAAATGTGAATGTTTTAGTCTTTTTACAGCATATCAAATAAATTAATTCAATAATCCTATTTATAATAATAAGGATAGTATCTCACATTAATAATAAAATCATCTTGATTTTATTTTGATATTATTTTAAATATTAATTCGATTTTTATAATTGATAGATTTTATATAAATTTGATTGTGGTTTGATTTTTATATCAGTTAAAAATGTTTCTCAATATTATACAGATTTTTTCTATTTAATAAAACATTATATAAACCGTATTTCTTACGAGCCAATCCTATTTTAATTTTATCAAATAAATTCAAATCTAACGGAATCCAACAATCTGTGTGTCTTGACATAAGCGGAGATTCGGGGAATATACCCTTCCTAATCATGATAATGATGATTACAAAAAAAAAAAGAGATCAATGATTACTGATTAGGCATATTATTTGAGAGAGATGAGAAATAAAACAATAGATAATTTGATTGCCTAAACAATAATTATAATTTAATGGGATTTTCAAATTTAGTCGAACGAGTCTTGAAAATGACACAAACATTAGTCTGCGCTTTATTCGAAGCATAGACTTTAATGTTTGTGAAAGAAAACATTGTTTTTTTATATAACAAGTGAAAGTACAGAGATGGAGAAGCCAATAATGTTTTTCATATATATTTATATATATATGTATATTTGTAAATGGAAGTCAGCGGCACATGTTTCGCACGTGTGCCCCGAATCTCTTCCCCCCACCCCCTCCCAAGTTTTCACCTTTATGTTCATTACAAATCAGCGATGGGAATCTAAAATTACAAAGAATATAGAAAAAACTTTTTTTTTTTCCCTAAAGGAAGTAAAATAAAATTTCCCTTTTTGCCCGAGAGAACGAAAATTCCATATTGAAAGCAATGTTTTTTATTTTTTTTTTCGGAAAGGGGGGAGGGAGGGATGTGTCTGTGAATGAATGGTGTTCCCTTCGAAATAAAAATTAGGCGCTCTCTCCCTCTCTCTCTCTATGTCGATTTTTCTCCAATAGTCCGTTAATGGCGATCTGAGCCAAACACCAGTCCAATTTGGTTCCTCGTGAGAGAGACAGGGTGACGGCAAACGACGAAGCTTGAAGCTGAAATTTAGGGCTTTCCTTTTTCTTCCTTTGATTTTTTTTCCGCTCCCCCTTTCTCCCGGAATCGTATTTTCTTACTGTCACTGTCGCGGAAGAGACGGAGGAACACGCGGGAAAGGGGACGTGAACATAGGGGAACGGAGAGAGAGAGCAACAATGTCGGCATTGGATTGTATCGACGGGTTTCTCTTCTCTCTCAGCAGAACCTTCTGCAGCCCTTTTGCTGTTTTCATTCAGATCCAGGTGACTTTTCGTCGCATTTGATGTTCAGATCCGGCTTCTGTTTTTGGTTCTGGGGAAGATTTATGGGCTTCTCGGACTTGTTTGTTCATGACGAGGTTTTGCTATCAGATTTCCGAAGCACTTCGGGTTCCTAAATCTAGATGCCATCTCTCTATTTTATTGATTTGCAAGTTCCAACATTGATTCATCCTTTAAAAAAATTCCTCTTTTTTTTTTTTGTTCAGCTTTATCCGATGATGTCCCGAGAGCAAGCTTTAGTACGATGTTAGATTACCATGAATCATGATGAAGCTTATAGAAGTAAAATCCCAATTTTGTTGGAGTAGTCAAACAATATTTCACATAATCAGTGCCATTGGGCGAAATGTTGGTGTATTTAGCTTTTGTTCTAATCAGGAAATCCAGCATTTGTAAATTGGTACTCGTTTTCAGTAGAAAGCATCAACCTTTTTCAGAGGATCCATTACGAGAACCTTATTGTTTTTTTTTTGGTTGTGTTATCCATTGAGCTTCTCTACATGTCTCAGGGATGTGTTATCTGCTTGGTTCTTGCTCTGGGATTGTTCTTGGCTGCATATGTCAGGTATTGTTAATTATGTGAGAGATCTCTAATGTCAATCTTGTTTTGACTGTGATACTATTTTTGATGTGAAGGAAAGTATATTTTTTTTTCTGAAATGTGTTATGTTGCTTATTCCCCTTGCAGGAACAGAGAGGTTAAGAGAATGAAGAAGAGAATGAAAGCAGGCAATAGCTTTGCATTCCTTTGTGAAGACATCAATGAACTCGAACACTCTAATCAGATCAATCTTCCAAGGGTGTCGGTCATCATGCCTTTGAAGGGTTTTGGAGAACACAATCTGCATAACTGGAGAAGTCAGGTCAGTCCCTCTTCATCGCAAGTTTCGATCTTGAAGAAGATATCTTGCCTCAGAGACTGTAATTTTTAACATTGATCCATGAATACCGTGTAGATTGTTTCTCTCTACGGTGGGCCGTTGGAGTTTCTTTTTATCGTCGAGAGTATTGAAGACCCTGCATATCATGCTGTGTCCCGTTTACTCTCCGAGTTTCAGGTGCGGTAAAGTTTTTGGAGGTTGGTTCATTCTGTTTTCGAACACGTTTTCTGCTGGAAAACAGTGAAAGTCTACCCGGAAATAAAAAAGTGAATAGAATACAGTACCTATTAGGTTACATTTTCCTCCTTAAAACTTCTATTCTGGCTTGACGTCTCTGCTCAAATGCATGTCGAAAATCGTGCAGGACCAAGTCGATGCAAAGGTTGTGGTTGCTGGGTTGGCAACAACTTGCAGCCAGAAGATTCATAATCAGTTGGTATGTATGCATGAACTTTACAAAAAGATTAGGACAGTAATCTTGGCATAGAGGTGTGACCGTACGAGTTTCAATCTCTCTGAAAACAGGGCTTTCTCCATGTTTGCTTGGACTCTATAATCACAGAATCCAATCCATGGGGGGTTGAAAAGCTAAAAAAATCTTGGAATTTGATGGTATATTCATTTTCTTTGTCTTCCATCGTGAAGGTCGGAGTTGAGAAAATGCACAAAGATACCAAATATGTGTTATTTTTGGATGATGATGTTAGACTGCACCCTGGAACCATTGGAGCCCTAACGGCCGAGATGGAGAAAAATCCAGAGGTATTTTATTGAAATGAGTTATTATGTATAAATTCCTGAATCCTCTGGTTGGAACTTCTTCCTCCTTCTTCTGTTCCTTTTGACATGTATCCCCAGACATGGATGGATTGCAGTTGTGAAACAGCAAGAATGGTTTTGTGCAGATATTTATCCAAACTGGATATCCTCTTGACTTGCCATCCGGAACTCTGGGGAGTTACTGCATCTACGAGTATCACATGGTACAGTTGCCGCTTTCGCCCTTTTCATTCCGTGTTCTTGAAATCAGAAACGAGGGTATTAGAGAGAAGGTGGAGGTAGTACGTCAAGAAGAAAAATTATGAGAGGAATGTCAAAGGTGGTTTGACCATATAAAACTTAGACCGATAGACATTTCGTTTAGAAAAGTAGAGATTATATGAATAGGAATATGAATAGGAAAGAGGAAGAGAGATAGGGGTAGATCTAGAGGAACGAGTGTTCCAAGTGATTAGTAATGATTTGAAGCGTTTTTAAATTTCAGAAAACTTAACCCAAAACTGTAACGAGTGAAAGAAAAGAATTCATTCGGCCGACACCAGATATTAAAGCACTGCTGCTGTTGTTGTTATATTTGTTCTTGAAATCAGAAACTTGCATACCTTTTGCTATATCTCATGGCTCTAAGTTCTTGTTGGATATGTTTCCTTTACAGCCTTGCTCAATGGGCTTTGCAACTGGTGGAAAAACATTCTTTCTATGGGGAGGATGTATGATGGTATGTATGTATGTGATGGAGAACTTGGCTTTTCACCTTTTGTTTTTTGTTTTTTTGTGTGTTTTCTCTCTCTGTGCTAACACACACTTATATCTATGATTGGTATGTGACTATTTCCAGATGCATGCTGATGATTTCAGAGAAGACAGATATGGTGTTGTCTCGGGGTTACGTGGTGGGGGATATTCCGATGATATGACCCTTGCAGCTATCGCAGGTAACGCACATATTGCTCGGATTTCTCCCCGGGCTGTTTCATTTCGAATATGATAAACCCTAATGGTATGAGATCTATCTCTTAGTTTCCAATCTCAACATGCCCTTGTTCAGGGGCTCACAAGAGACTCATTACATCGCCTCCCGTTGCTGTTTTCCCTCATCCTCTTGCGACCGATCTCAATTTCGGAAGGTACATTGTCAGAAACTGCCCGAGGCTACACCGAAATTTCCAGAGATGATGAAATCAAATCATCTTGTAAAAAGTGTAGGTACTGGAACTACTTGAGGAAGCAAACCTTTGTGCTGGAGTCGTATATATCGAGAGTTAACTGGATGATGAACAGAGCTCTATTCACAACCCACTGCTATCTCTCGTGGGGACTCGTCACGCCTTATTTGATGGCCGTGATCCATGTCACTTCCGCCTTACGCATATATATAAACGGGCACCGACTCGAGGACTCATCCTTTGCTTCTCGTGGTGAGTGAGCATACTCTTTTTTTTTTTTTTTTTTTTTTTTCCTCTC